TCAAAGAGAAGGAAGGTTGCGTTCCCAAATGGACACAATTTGGTGCCCCTTTGGGTTTCAGCCTACACCTTCTACAAGTTTTTTGCCATTGGAGAGGCCAGCTATTAATCAGAAATATCAAGAAGGAACCAGGCTGCCTCATCTACAATAGGGACTTGCAAGTGAAATTAGTTCTGCTTCACAACAGAGGCAGGCTTTTGTTATGTGACAAATGAGGAAGGAGATTCTAGTTCTGTCCCACAGATAATATACGTGCAAATTTTTATTGGTTTTCTGTTAGCCTTATATACCTGGAGCCTTTAAAACTATATGACACCTCCTGCAGGCCCAGGCAGCATCCTCGGAAGTATACAATCAAAATGTACAGGGCACTTCTCACAGTGGCTCCAGCCTGTTTATATTTTACTTCAGCCTATAGGAAGGGATTTAATAATCATGCTAGGACGGCATAGCCAATGGCACCAGCAGTATTTCACACCTTACAACTTTTCCAGATGTCCACCAATTAGACCCTAATAGACACTGCGGCACCAGGAGAAGATGGAAGCTACAATAATTGGTCATAGTTCCTTGATTAATTACATCCCATTCTCCTTTCTCTGGAGGAGGCTTTGGCTGAGCCAAGGGGTGAAATGCTGGGACATTGGGAGGAACTGGGCAGGAAGAGTGTTGCCCATCCTTGTATTTTTGTTCCAGTTGTGAGAAAAAACACAATAACAAGAAGTTCTGTGCATGTCAGGTTTCTGCCCTGCCCTGTGTATTAGCCAATGTTGAAATACTTTACTGGTAGCTTAATGAAAGGGACTCGTTCCATGAATTCATGTACAAATTCACGCTCTTAACTGTTTTGAGGAATTGAGCAAATCAGAGATGTTGTAGCTCTCTCCCAAAGGCCAAGCCTTAAAAAATAAAACAAAAAGGGATTTCTGAGCTAGTATTTGCTTACATTCAGTCGAGTCTTCCCGTTCTATTAGATGATGATTTTCTTCACCGTTTTCCAAATTGATCAGACTACATATAAGCTCCACAATACCACATTTTAGCTCCTTAACAGCTAGTTTTTTCTAGGTCAGGAAACACCCCATGGTTGTACATGTGTGTTGCCTTGTTGCGAGGTGGGTGGCTGATGCTAGATGTAATGAAAAGAAACCCTGGAATTTCGGGCTATAATTTCCATTTCTGTTCTCTTTGATCCCTCCAAACAATAGCATAATTAAATAGATCGCTTCCCGTGTTTGAAGCTGCCAAGAATAGCTCATTAATATATCGAGTCTAATATTATACATTTGTCTACCAATGATTCTCTCCTAGCCCTATATATTTCTTCGGCAGAAAGAAGTATGGGTCTTGAGGGACCCTGTAATATATCCCACTGTCCAAGATCAGAAGATCAAAGCTGTCACCCATTCATTAAAAAGTGAGGTTTCAGTCATAAATTGAATGAGCCTTGAGTTTAAAACCCAGATGTTCAAAATGGAGTGAATAGGTCCAATTATTGGACCTATTTGCATGTTAATTAACTAAACCAGTGGTTCCCAAACTTGGCAACTTTAAGACTTGTGGACTTTAACTCCCAGAGTTCTCCAGCCAGAAGAGCTGGCTGGAGAATTCTGGGAGTTGAAGTCCACAAGTCTTAAAGTTGCCAAGTTTGGGAACCACTGAATTAAACTATCCCAATTAAGAATTTTAAGGAGTTAGTGATTTTTCTCTGTAAATGTGTTTTTATTTTTCCATTTTCATTTCGTACAGTCACATATATACTGTGCATAACCGGGGCCATATAACATTAAACAGTAAACCATTCCTCTTGTCAACAATACCCCCAAAAATAGAAACCTTCTTCGACCCTCCATACACCCTTTCTTTCACCCCCCCCCTCCAACTTTCCTTCTTCCCTCCAACATTCCCCTCTACCCTACTTCCCCTCCCCCTCTACCACTCCTCTCTCCCAATACACTCCCTCCCTTCCTTCTCACCCTCCCTCCCGGAGTTAGTGATTTTTCTCTGTAAATGTGTTTTTATTTTTCCATTTTCATTTCGTACAGTCACATATATACTGTGCATAACCGGGGCCATATAACATTAAACAATAAACACAGCCATTCCTCTTGTCAACAATACCCCCAAAAATAGAAACCTTCTTCGACCCTCCATACACCCTTTCTTT